TGGCTTTTTTTTTTTTTTTTTTTTTTTTTTTTTTTTTCCCCTTAATGGAGTGTGTGGTGGGAGAAGGAAGTTGGCACTTATGTAATGGCATAATTCCAGGTGGTTTCACAGTTAAAGGTCTTGGAAAGAATGGTCTGGTTAAATAGGAAAGGGTACTGGAGAGAAAAGAATTACAGTTTTATAGTCATTAGCGTTTGGGTCTATCCCAGAGGCCTTTAGAAGTTACCCTCAAAGGAAAGGGAAAAAAGTGTTTTGACCCCAGGACCTGGATGAGAATAGGAACATTTACAGAGTGGCCTGTTGTGAAATCCTTACACAAATTACTACATTTCTGGGGCCAGAGGGATGGCTCTATGGTTAAGAGCAGCATAAATAAAGATAAATCTTTTTGTTTCTTTGAGACAGAATTTCTCTGTGTAACAGCTCTGACTGAACTGGAACTCACTCTGTAGACCAGGCTGGCTTTGAACTCACAGAGATCTGCTTGCCTCTGCCTCCCAAGTGCTAGGATTAAAAGTGTGTGGCACAACAGTCTTAAAGACTGGGTGATAGCTTAATTCAGTTTAACAGATGGAATTAAGAAGTAGGGAGGTGGAGTCCCTTGCTTAATTAGCAGGTTGTAGAATTTGGGATCCTAATTTCTCTGCATTACCCAGATCCCATGGTTCCAAAAGGTCCTGTGTTTTTGTGAACACTTTGCCCATTTGTTGACTAATAATATAATTTATCTAGTAGCTGGATGTACCAGACACTACTAAAACCTGCACACCATTTCCAACACTTTAATCACAGTGCCCTCTCCATTTTTCCAATGAGGAGACAGAATTCCTGACACTGTGACCTGAGGCAGGCCTGTCACTGGTAAGGACTAGTCAGAGATTCAGTCCTTGGTGTGGCAGCCTCTATAGCCTATGCTTTTCCTCTCTGTCCCCAGGCAGTCTTTGCCTTTATCCGTATGCCTGGACTATTTCTGTTTTGGGTATTCAATTGTATCCTGATGCTTTGCTTCTTGCTAATGTGTGCAGGGACAGATGAAGAGCATTCTCAAAAACCCTGATATCTTTTATGATGCCATCTGTATTTGGTCTTAGAAACAAACCTATTCACTTCACTGCCTGTGGAAGGTAGCTTTTCAGGGTCTCTTTCAGCTGTTGTTTGTTGAAGATAAACCAACGAATCAACTTCTTTGACGATATGAATCCTACTCTCTTGTTCTAGACATTCAGGCCTACCTGGCAGAGCATTCCTATGGACAACATGAGTAGAACACAGGCTAGCTCAGGGAGGAGGGGCTTAGCCTTGAAAGAAGGTTGTGAAGTCAGTGTGGGAGAGAAAATGATAAAGTCTTATTTCCATGCCTTCCCCCCTCCACAAAGTTTACGTTTTCTTTAAAAAATAAGACTCAGATGCTGTGTTTACTTATTTTGCTGGCAATCGGTGTTGTCAGGACAACAAGATCTGTTTGCCTAGAATAGGATTTTCTGGCGTACTGGAACGGGAAGATGAACACACAAAGCTAACTCTTGTTTTCGTATCTGTAGGAAGAGAATGGTTTCCTTGTGTGGGATGGCTCCTAGCACAAGAGGAGCTGAATGGCAACGACAGGCAATTACCATGCTCTGCACTCTGTTCTCATTTACTTTAATAAGAAAGGCACATAAATTGATGGAAGTTTTAGCACCGTGCTAAGCATATTGGTAGTTAACATCGGTGAGCACTTATGCTGGCACTGAGCTAATATCTTCACACACATTATTGTACTGAAACCCCAGGGCAAGTCTGTGAGCTCAGTACCATTATTGTCCCTATCTGATAGTTTAGAAAACCAAACTAGGAGAGATCAAGTCCATGGCCCAAGCTTACAGACCTGGTCATTAGTAGATGCACGTGGTACCTGCCCAAACTCCAGGAATTTACAGTTTCTGGGCAAATCAAAACCCAGAAGTGAAGTCAGGCAGTGGTGGCTCACGCCTTTAATCTCAGCACTTGGGAGGTAGGGGCAGGTGGATCTCTGGGAGTTCAAGACCATCCTGGTCTACAGAGCTAGTTCCAGGACAGGTTCCAAAGCAGTAGAGAGTAAACCCTGCCTTGAAGGACAAAATACAAAACAAAACACACAAAAGAAACCAAAATACAAACCCAACCCCTGCCACAAAAAAAAAAGCCAAAACAAACAACAAGCCATGAGTAGGGTTCAGAGCATGTGGTTTAGTGGTAAAGGGTTTACCTGGTATGTGCAGTTCCCTTGGTACCACAAAACAAAACCAGAAATGAAGAAGGAAAGAATAAGGTTAGCTGAGCATCAAATAATCTAACCTCCCGTGGACGTCAGGAAAGGGATTCAGACGTTAGCTCCCCTAGACCTGGATTTACAGGCTGTTGTGATCCATCATATGGGTGCTGGCACTTGAACCCAGGTCTTCTGCAAGACTAACGAGTGTTCTTAACTGCTAAGACATCTCTCCAGCTTCTGTATGGGCATTTTAAAAACCTTTCTTTAGTGTTTAAGTTTATACTGAATTTCTGCCTGTGTTATCTACGGTGTTATAATAAAACATGGGCAATTTAGTAAAACACGACATAGTCATACAGAATTCTACATTTTAACAAATAATGGGAAAGAATACCAGGGTCTATTTCGGTTGCTCTAGGAAAGCAGGGTTTCCCACATATTTTTTTTCCTTTGCCCAAAGGCCATCTATTTACTTTTTTTATAGACCAAACCAATGAGTTTACCGGGCTTTACTTAGAAGAGCAGGAGTGACCTCAAAACAGCTGCATCGATTCCAAGAGTACCCTGTTTATGGGTGATGACCTTATGGAAACTGACTCCTGGAGTGCCCCCTAAATGGCAACACACAGGAAAATTATAAGAAAATCACCTTTGATGTTTATAAATAAAGTTTTATTAGGAACACTGCCACATCCATTGATTTATTATTGTCTGTGGAGGCTGATGGCAGAGTTGAGTCATCACTGTAGAGATCATAGGGTAGGTCCTGAAATGTTGAACTGATGGCCTTTTAAAGAAAAAGTTTGCCAACTCCTGCCTTAGCATTAATGACCCCAAAGGCCCCCCATTAACTCTGATAGCTATTTGAGGTGGGGGGACCAGACAATACAGAACTGTGTGCCCCCAATTCAGTATTGACTGTTGTCAGCATTTTGCAATTTGCTTCACATTTATAGAAGAATTAATACAAATATTATAATGTTATCCTATACTCGATGTATCCTCCTTCCCTCCCGCCTTCCTTTCCTTCCTTCATTTATTTATTTATTTATTTATTTTTAGTTTTTCAAGTTAGGGTTTCTCTGTGTTGCCTTGGCTGTTCTTGAACTCATTCTGTAAATCAGGCTGGCCTCAAACTCAGAGATCCACCTGCCTCTGCCTTCTGAGTGCTGGGATTAAAGGCATGTGCCACCACTGCCCATCTTATTTATTATTGTTGTTTTGTCTTTGAAACAGGATGTATGTGGTCCAGGTTGCCCTGGGACTCCTTGTGTAGATCAGGCTGGCCTTGAACTCATGAACATGTTCCTGTTCCTGCCTCCCAAGTGCTGGGTTTAAGGCCTGTGAATGTATGGCTGTGTACCACATACATGCACTGCCTAATAAGTCCAGAAGAGGGCGTCAGATCCCCTGGAACTGGAGTTCCAAAGGGTCATGACCTGTCATGTGGGTGCTTGAAATTGAACTCAGGTTCTCTGCAAGAGCAGCTCGTGCTCTTAACTACTGAGCCTTCTCTCTAGCCCCCTTCCTTTATTTTTATCCCACATGCTAGGCAAATACTCTACCTCTGAGCTACACCTCTAGCTGCCTCCTTCCTTCTTGGTGTCAGACTGTCATGAATCTAACATGAACCAATTCTCTTTGACTTTTATAACTTTTGCACAAGCATGTGTCCATAAGCGTACACTGTGTGGGCATCATAGAACATGCTGCTACCCTCTTGAAATCAGAGCAGTTATGTTTGCCTCAGAAAGGGCCCCACCGGGCTGTTATCAGTCCTTCAGGGAAGGAGTAAGAGAAAGCCATTAGACCTTCACCTGAGATTACCTCCCTCCCTCTGGTGCCCACCCAAGCTCACATGGTCCTGGAAGAAGCTAGAGTGCATAGGAAGGGGATGCGAAGAAAGAACTCCGCCCATGTTGCTTTTGGCAGGCCACCATCCATGCTGGAGATGAGTAAGTCCAATAAACTCATTGGTTCACCAAGCTGGGCTTGGACAGAATTGGGTCTTTGATCTGTTGTTGGCGCCCTATTTTGGGTGAATAGACGTTTGTTCATGTCGCCCCAGGCAGTCACTCAAGAGTGGGTCTTAAGAAAAACACTGTGCGTGATACTGTATTCTGCAGCTCGCTCTTTTACTGTACACGTTTCTGTGCTCCTTTCATGTGGGTACAAGATCTAACTCAGTCCTTTTAGCCATTGTGCACTGTTCCTCTCCGTCTCCCTCTATTTGCTATTACTAACAGATAAATGTGAGTACGTTGAAATATCCAGAGGTGGCCATCTCATTAGAACGCTCACTGAGTTTATTCGTCCGGTCCTTGGACTTGTTTGCGAATGCTCCTGCAGCCTAGAAACAACTGGAATAATTTACCAACTAACGAGGGCTGGAAATTGACAACGAGCTTTGGATCCTCAGTGATTTTGACGTCTCAACTCCCATTCCCCTTTGCTTTCCGGCAGGGACTTGCAGCCAGCCCCTGGTGAACATCCAAGTCTGAGTTCACTGACCCTACCCCCAACGCCCTCAGGTCGTTAAAACACCCCTTTCCTTCTCCGTTGTTATCCAAATAGGATGCTAAAGGAGCTCAAGGCTCCTGCAAAGTAAAACGCCAAAAAGGGGAAGAGTGTTTGGCCAGAACAGGATGTGTTTCATTACACGCAGCTAAACCGCCTTGTGGGGAGACACAGAACTTCACTGGGCCGTACAGAGTGATGCATTTTAGGGCGAGCCTACGGCGGTGGTCAGTGGGGAGGCGGCTGCGGAAAGGGCTTCCCCATAATGGGCGTTGCCCCGAAATCCAGGGAGGGAACCGCCAGACCGGCTCCTGGGTTTCCCGCCGCCTTCGGGGAACTTCTCGACGCTCAGAAACAAAGCGGCGTGGAGCAGCTGGCCGGAGCCGAGACGCACTTCCACACTTGCGGCCTGTGCGTCCCTGCGCGGGCCCGGCCTGGCTTCCTGCCGCCGGCCGCCTCCTTCCCCCAGCTCGCCTCCGCCCCGGTGCCACTTAAGTCCCCGCGGGGCCCGGCGCGCGGCCGAGGCTGCGGCGGGCACGCGCGCTTCCACGCCGGGTCCTTGGCCAATCAGCGCGGAGCCCGAGGCGCCGCCGCTGTGGCCGCCGCCGCCGCCGCGCGCGAGCCGAAGCCCGGGCGGCTCCTCTCGCGGAGAGCCGAACCGGACCGAGCCGAGCCGAGCCGAGCCGAGCCGGGGGCGCAGAGCGCGGGAGGCGGCGGCGGCGGCGCGGAGCCCAGGTGAGCTGGCCCGAGGCGGGCCGGGCTGAGGGGGTCACGCAGACACCGTGTGGGGCTCCGGGCTCCCGGCCCCGGGCGCGCGCCGTGCCGGCAGACGCAGCCCAGAGGCGGGCCCCGAGGGGACCCCACGTGCGCCGCCCCGCGCCCCGCCACGTGGAGGGCTGCGTCCCCTTCCCCTGGGCCTCCGGAGCGGGGCGGCGCTTGGGCCCGGGCGGTGGGGGCCGGCCTGGAGTTCCGCACTGAGATCGGCCGGCAGGGGCGGTCCCGGGTCCCGGCGACGGCCTAGGCCACCCCTGGCGCTTGACAGGTGCGGAGCCTGAGCGCGCCGAGCGTCCCTCCCCCGCTACCTGCAGGGCTCGGGGCGACCTCGGCCCTAGCGGGTTGGGCACAGGTGCCAGGACCCCGAGTCTGCCCTCTGACCACCCTGACCTCACAGGCCGCCTTGATCCTTTTGACCTAAATTTACCTCAGGGCTGCAGCGCGCGGTGCACGAAGAGTGCATGCTCTGGCCCCTCTGCCTCAGCCCTGGGGCTGGTGCCCCGGTGTCACCCGTGTTTTACCACGGTTCTCCCCACCCCCCTGGCTGCCCAGTTTGGGGGACGGGGTGTTTTCACAGCTCTGCCAGCCTCCTCCCGGGCTGCTCTCACTTGGAGATGAAGAGGTGGCACTTTGCTGCGGGTGGAGAGCGTCTGAGGTGTCATGGGCAAAGAAGCAGCCGTCTGATCTGGGGGTGGGTCCTGCCGCGCATCCGCATTCTTATCCTAGATGCAACTTTTACCTTCTTCGGCCTACTCTTGGATTAGTCCCAGTCCAGGACTAGAAACTTCAGGTGTCCTGGGGCGTTAACGATGCCTTTTACTCCTCCCAGCTCTGCCCCCACAGGACTGAAGGGAAGATTGCTCTGTGTCCCCGCAGCTCCTTTGTTCTGTGGAAGTGGCAGGGGCTGCCACTGTTCCCAAGCCACCCCACAGAAACCGTGCAGCGGTTTCAGAATAGATTGTGTACCGGTGTACGAAAGCAGCCCCGGTTTGCTAGATCTTCCTTCTGTACAGCCTGCTGCTCTTAACCTGTTCGCCAACGCAATCATTTGATGAGCCCCTACCTTGGATAATCGTAGTGACTTTTTTTCACCCATGCTGAGGCTAGAACCCAGTGCTAGGAGCATGCTAAGCCACCCTCTACCACTGAACCACACTCCCACCCCCTAATTAACAGTTAAGTGAGTTCTTTCTTTCTATGTGGCAGATACTGTTTTGTTGCCGGCATTATCTCATCTAATGCTTATCCCAAATCCTGTTTGTCTGGGAGTTTTGTCACTATGGTTGAGAGTAGGAGATCGAGGCTCAGAGAGGTTAGTCAACTTCTCTGGGATCACTAAGACGAGCAAGGCTTCCCTCACCTGGGTGGGGGAGCCCAGGCCTCTTTACTAAGCAGCCTATGAGGACACAGGCCTGAGGAGTTCCTGCAGCCCTGTCTGAATTCAGGCTTGTCTTTCCCGCCAGGTGTTAGGGGGCTAATAACTGTTTCGGCGGTTTTCAGGGGGCAGTCCCACCCTCCAGGCGAGCATTTGGAAACATGTAGGAGTGACTTTTGGTTTGTCAAAATGAGACTAAGCACTGTTGGTGCTTAGTGGGCAGGAGCTAGGGAATGGCAAATGTCCTGTAAGAATGTCGCTACCCTAAATGCCAGTAGGGAGGTGTTGAGAAATGCCATAAGCCTCGAATGCTGGGGAAACGGAGAGCCACAAGGTGCATTCTGGAGAAATCTGTGGGAGTGTCCCCCAGAGGCTTCCTGAAGGGGGTGTCATTTGTGCCAAGCCTTTGAAGATAGGCTGCAGTGGAGGGAGTGGGTAGAGGGAATAGGATGGATCCCAACTCAACAGGGGGAGTTTGTGCATTGGATGTAGACAGTGGCTAGGGCTGTTGTCTGCTGTTTGGCAGGTTAAACGGCTGTTCTCGGTCTTTTTGCTTACTGTGAACCCATCCTGCGGAAGGAACGGTTCCCATTGGCAGCTGTCCAGTCACTAGAGACCTTTTCCTGGACACGCCTCCTGCTGGTGCTCGAGGGCCTTGTGAATCTCATTTCTTCCCGCTATCTTGGGGATTTGTGTAGGCACTCTATCACATTTCTCCTTTGAGTTAGAGTCTTGGACTAGTAGTAGGCAAGAGAGCCCCAGGGTGGTTTCATGCAGGTGGCTCAGGCTGCCGTTTCGTAGCCTCTCCGATCACGCCTGTACTTCCTCCTTTGCGAGTTGAGGGGTTTCTCTTTTGAAATTGACTTCTCAGATAGGATGTGCTCTGTTGGTAGAGTGCCTGCCTGGCACACATGAAACCCTTGGTTTGGCCTCTAGCACTTTATGAGCTGGGTGTGGTGGTACATGCCTGTAATCCTAGCACATGTGAGGTGGAAGCTGGACCAGAAGGTCAAGGTCATGCTTATCTACATAGCAAGTTGGAGGTCAGTCTGGGCTACATGAGACTCTGTCTCAAATTAAGTAAATACATGATAGAGTTCAGATTGTTTGTTGATAGAAATTTGTGAGGGTTTTGCTAGCAAGCCCTCTAAGCTACGTTCCCAACCCTTAAAAATAATCAAGCAGATCTCGGTGAGTTCGAGACCGGCATGAACTATAAGAGCTAGTTCCAGGACAGCTTCCAAAGCCACAGAGAAACCCTGTCTCAAAAAAAACAAAACAAAACAAAACAAAAACAAAAATAAATAAAATAAAATAATTAAGGTGAAGTTCCCTCAAGCAGCGCTTCGGACACTATCTAGTTTCCCTCTACCCAGTTTCAGGGCATTTGCATTGCCTCGGAATGAAACCCTGTGCCCCTCTCTCCAGGCTCGGCACCCATACCTGCTGTCTGTGGGTTTAGTGTGCTGTGGATGTGTCCCGTGAGTTACACCCTGTATAACAGGTGTTTGTATATGGGTTCACTCGGTAACACACCTTCTATGCTCCATTCCTTTTTATGGCTGAGTAATATTCCATGGTCTGAGTGAACTACGTTTGGTTTATTCATCTAACGATGGGCATTTATGTTGTTTCTTTCCCTTTTCTGGGAGACAGGGTCTCATTATGTAGTCCAGTCTGGCCTTCACCTCTTGGTCTTCCTGTCTCTGCCTCTTGCACGTGTACACCATGCCTAGCTGATTTTCTTTCTACAATTATAGAACATTTTAAGCACAGAGAAACAGCAAAGTTTTGTTCATTTGGACTGGCTTGTATTTCGGAAGACAGGAAGGAGGCCCTAGGCATGACAGGAACTGGGCAGTGTCCTGCCCTTTCTCAGCCTGGCCATGCAACCTCCATCCCCTGTTTGGGGGTCTGGGAACAGAAGGGAGCTGAGAGGTGCTGGGACTTGCTCCCTGTGAGAGTCTCTGTGCTGCTGGGGAATCCTGTGGAACAGATGAACTGTTTCCTTTTGGAGAGGGAGAAAGAGGAAATTAGGAGATTCTGTCGTGCCCCCACACCCACCCCATCCTGAAAGCTGCAGAGGGACTATTTTTGTGTTGTCTCTTTTTATCCTGGTGGCTGTAAATAGTTGAGAATGGCAGTTACAGAGATAAAAATGCTAATTCCAACCTGGGAAGGAGAGATGGATGATCCCACAGGAAGTGGGGGTAAGGAGGGGCAGCCAGGATCCTGCCCTCTGCCCTGCACAGGAGGCAGGGCTGAGGGAAGGCCAAAGGTGTTGCCCGAGTGCTTCCGTTAGGGAACATTTAAGGGGGGCGAGGAGGGGAGCACGTACGTTCCCGGCCCTGTGTAGGTTTTTTTTTTTTTTTTTTTTTGGATTTTCAAGACAGGGTTTCTGTGTAGCCCTGGCTGTCCTGGAACTCACTTTGTAGACAAGGCTGACCCCAATCTCAGGAATCTGTGTGCCTCTCCCTTCCTAGTGCTGAGATTTATCTGCTTCCATTCCTAGCTCTGTTGTGCTTTTTAATGTACACTGGGACCGGAAGTGGTGGCACTCTCCTTTAATTCCAGCACTCAGGAGGCAGAGGCAGGCAGCTCTCTGAGTTTTAGTTCAGCCTGGTCTACAAAGTGAGTTCTGGGAAAGCTAGGGCTACCCAGAAAAACCATGTCTCTAGGGGGAAAAGTACATTGGGAGTGTTGCTTTCAAAGCACCTAGCAAAGACAGATTTAGGTTTATCTTAGACCTCGATACCCATTCTGGGTCCAGGTGTGGGGGATATGTGACCCTATATACCTGGTTTCCAGGCTTGACCCTGCTTGGGTGGGGACATGTATACTTGAGGCGGGACAGGGAAGGAGGTGGATTAAATAGTCTCTAAATGGACAGGGATGAGGGAGGGAAAGAGATGTGGGTAGGAGAGACAGGGATGCCCGAGGTGCCAGCCAAGCCCACATGTCTCTGGTTGGCCAGGCAGTGCGTTGCTGGCTGGAGTGAATCTCTTTCTTCCCCTTACAGATTGAAATTCCATTTGTCTCTCTGCTTCTCCCTTTGGTTCAGTGGAGGACTGAGAGGGAGTCAGTCAGAAAAGTTCTTCTTCTCACCTCAAGTTCCGCCTCCCTCTAACCCTAACCCTACCTACTCACTCACTCTTTGTTCTTTCTGTATCTTTAAGGCCTTCAAAGCTTGACCACAGATAGAATTGTCCTGTTCTCTCAATGATATGTGACCCATCAGATCCCTAAAAGTGGCCAGCAGGCACTCACAAACTCCTAGGTCATTCAGGGTCTCGGTCTGCAAAGGTCTGGACCTCAGGCTCTATAGTCCCTGCCCAGCCACAAGCCTGCTGGCCTGTCTGTCTCACCTACTCTGGCTTTTAGCATCTCCACCTGCAGCTCCCTCCCCCACTACATTGATTGCTGAAGCAGTGGGCATCGAGTAAGCTCTACACCATGTCAGTTTGGATGTGAAATTGTATTCACTTTTTTTTTTTTTTTTTTTTTTTTTTTGGTAACAAATGATGCCTTGGACTACAGCTAGCAGGGAGGGTGGAAAGAGTTTAGCTATTATGATGAGATTAGAAAC